TTTGAGCACCCAGACAGGATACCATTACAAATGGCATTAACACAGCTGGAGTATCTCGCCGATAACCTGAATGAAAGAAAACGCGAAGCAGAACTTAAACAGAAAGTCAAGCAGCTTGACGCTAGCACTGCTCATGTCAACAAGGTATAAAAGACTTTGTCAGCTGCTCGTGAAGATATAAAACSTTCCAAAGAGTTTGTAATTAGATAGGTTGGGCAATTTCATTTTAGTCCTACAAGGAACAATGTCTGAAATATCAGTATATATTGTCCATCATTTTTAAAAGGTGATAATTTATGTTGATAGTGAAAAATTCAACTAGAACAGTTAGCTAAGTCTTATAAAGTCAAATCCAATGGAAGCAATGCTTTGATACAATTATTCTCTGCAAAAACAACACACTATAAATATAGTAAAAAAATACAATTTAAGGCAATACTAACTATTTTTCAATTCAAAGATTGATAAGTTTGTCAAATGCTTTTATATTTTCCTCATTTTCAGCCATTGTCAGCAGGAAACCGYTACTTTATAAGACAGGACGACTTTGTACAATGYGTAAGTAGTAACTTTTGAATGCTTCCACAAAAGGCAAACTTGTTCATTGTTTAAACTGCAATGTTTCCCATCTAATCTTATTGAATGCTGMCAAATTGAGAACAAAGATTTTTGATTTTTCCTAGGTGATCCAAGAAGATACTATCGTCCGCACCAAAAGACAGCGCATTATAATGCTATCTGACATGTTGTTATGTGTTTCTGCTATTAAAGGGTGAGTAGTATTAAAGGGTGAGTAGTATGTACTTAATATTTATTTAAATTTATACAACTTTTCAGTAAAATCAGACGTTTTGATTCGGTTGGCTTTCGTGTGTTATCAAAGTATAGATACACGGATTACGTCAAAACTAATTGTTTGTTGTATAAAACAGATAGATCTCATTTTTCCGTGCGTGTGTACTCTAATAGATACACAGATGACGTCAAAATGTAGTGAGAACAACAGTCATGCACTTGACTGCGTCTCGTGCGTACTTTTTTGTTCTCACTACATTTTGACGTCATCTGTGTATCTATTAGAGTACACACGCACGGAAAAATGAGATCTATCTGTTAAATATGATAATACCACAYGTGCAATAAATACCATGGAAGATGGTGGTAAAAGAACTTTGTTGGCTGTCTTCTTTGAGTTATTGGAGCTTTCGTATGTAAGCCTAACAATGTATACAAAGAGACAATTAAGCAATTATCTCTGTCATAAATTCCTATTGGATGTATTTTCTTGTCTCATTGCTAATAGTATTAATAAGGATTTGAAGTTATCCCAATTCATTAAGCTTCTGGATGGATCTCTAGTCCTTGAAATTATTTAGTAGTTCCAGTGTTCACTTACATGGACTTCGTGAAAATTATCCTGATCTCATTGTTTGATAGGCTGAGTTTCATGCAGCGTTTATTAGTAAATACTGACCGTTAATTTTGAAATATACCGGATATATGCAGGCTAATAGTGTCCTTCATGGTTCCCTGCGCCATCTTGAAAGGTAGCCGTGCCTTTACATGGAAGCGATGAAACCGTGGAGCGTGCAATGATAGAAACCTGTGAATAATTGTCTGTAGTTGTGAAAGAAGGTTTCTATCATTTCACACTCAACGATCGTCTCACTTTGATGCAAAGGCACGGCTACCTTTCAAGATGGCGCAGGTAACCATGAAGGAGACTATTGTTTGACTTACAACATACATGTTGTGCAGGAAAAAGGACCGAATGACAAACTTCATTACCGATGTCAAAGCCAAGTACAAGCTCAAGTGGAATGTACCTTTGTCTGATGTTGAAGTGATAGAATATGGACCAGGTATAAACCTACCCTATGCACTACCCCAAGGTGCCAATAAAACAACATCAAGACCAGGTAAACTGTTATAAATGCACTTTTYAATCAAACTTGTGGACAGTGATGCAGCAATTAAGCTACATTGGGACCCATAACAGGGTCAACATTCAAGGAGGATGGCACCCTACCCCCTCACTTTGTTGCTCTGCCTTCACTTTCTGCTCCTCCCCACAAACCATTCACTCCATTCCCCTCTAATAAATATTGCCATCTCTGTGTTGGTGCTCCTCCTTCTCATTGCCTACTTACCTCCTACTACACCTCCCCCTAATGCACCTCTGCCCTACACTCCCCCCTACTGCCCTCCTTTTGACTCCTTCCTCTTACCTCCTCTCTTACATTGTCTAAGATTTCTCTCTTTTTAACGTATAAAATTGTTTCATTAGAAAATTAGATACAATAGTTATCTTTCTTGTTACAGATGTAATGACATGCCATTCTTATTTTTTCATAGGTCAACACACAGGCTGCCAAGAGCATTTTGCTGATTTACAACATGACTTGGCTGTGATYGGACAAATTGCTGGACTGGTAGCAACACTAAGACGGTCCTATCAGGTCATTAAAACATTGATATTCTTGTTCTGGGGGGGGGATTTCCCCCAATTTTTCCTCAATCATACAACATTTAAATTAACTTTTGTTTGCCAATAACAGATWGTTGATAACGACAAAGTCCAGAAATGGCACAAAGCAGTACAGAGAACGATCGAGGAAGAGTCACGTCTAGCGAATATGTACTGGCTGGAGTTATCTCTACCTGCAAAGTATGTATTACAAAACGACTCACAAACGTTTTGTGTTGTCATTCCTTCCTTCTCCGTCACGGTTCCCTGCGCCATCTTGAAAGGTAGCCGTGCCTTTRCATYGAGGCGAGACGACCGTTGAGCGTGCAATGATAGAAACCTTCTTTCACACATACAGACARTYATTCACAGGTWTCTATCATTGCACRCTCAACGGTYGTCTCGCTTCGATGCAAAGGCAYGGWTATGTTTAMAGATGGTGAAGGARACCGTGAAGAAGACTATAAATGAAATTTCGTYTTTGATTCATCTTTGTATATTTTCAGGAGTGGTCGGGTAAACTACATATTTAGCACAGATTCGCCTTCAGTSAAAGCGGAGTGGTTGACAGCCTTAAGCACAGCTGTTCTTCGCCTCGGTCAGTAATGTGACTATAAATTAAAGTTAACATTTTAAACCGCTCTAATTGATTGTTTATAACCTTAGCTCCGGAGAACAATCCCGGATGGTACCTCCCAGAGGATAATGGGACAGGAGAGGTGTCMATTCAACGTCGTAACATGCCGCTGTTGAAAGATAACCTCGATTTATTCCTTTTGAACCCAAARGCCAGGGTGAGTTAACACGTGACCAGTTGACTGCCTTCCCATGATTCCCTGTTACATTTATACCCTGCTATATTTCTCATTGCCAGGTCCAGGACATTGTAACATGCCCGGACGTTACAAACCCTCTACCGGGTATCCACGATAACTACAACAATCTATGGCTATTATGCGGAGGACCGGATAGTACGGGATTTGTTAGTGTCATCCGGGTGTCYTGYTCATCCCCGCCTCAGATCGTAGAGTCATTTCACGTCTGTGATTCTCAAATCTTGTGTGGTGARTTTGTYATGAGGACGTGCCTGGAAGACAARAAGGTTACTGGACCACTAAGTGGCAAGTTTGGATTTCCTTTTCCAACTGTCTGGCTTGGAACACAGTCAGGAAAGTAAGTCCATTCAAAAAAATGTTTGGTAAACGTTTCAATACGGGCAGAGMCACAGGCGGGTTGTGAAAACGCCGATACATACATGCTCGCTTCACTGCTTGCTCTCCCAGAAAACGCTTTTGCAACCAGTGCTGTGATACCCGTATCTAGATAAGAGCTCGCTTCCCCAATTACGCTTTGTCGGAAAACGTTTCCGTAAGTACAGCCATATGTATGTATGATAAAACCGTATGATATATACCGGCATGAGAAAACCGTGCACAGACACCAGGCCGCTACAGGAAAGCGTATCCGCAAGCAGTTACGGATGCCATTCAGGAAACTCCATATCAGAACTCTGGCTGGTTACCTCGCGCGCCCTTTTCAGTAAGAAAATCTTTGGGGAACGTTTCCGCAAGCAGAATCAATTTCCTGGTATTGTGCTTGTTTCTCCCTTTCCTTACGTACCATGCCCTTGCGTTTACGTTTATCATACGTATCTATAGGATCTATATCTACAATGGTGCAGACTCGGAGAGACGTTACGTAATGTCAGTCAAGCTCCCAGACTCCGTTCTCGACCTCAAGTAAGACGTGACACAGTATAACCAAAAACTAATGTAGGGATTGAAACGTCTAACCACTGACCATACTCCTGAGCCTTCAGACATCATTATATCACCATATTTGGTAGTCAATGGTCGATTCAAAATAGCCTTGCCAATGCAAAAGAAAAATAATTTTCTGTGTAAATGTATCTTATTTTTAATTTACAAAGTTTCAGGAGGGTAAACGTATATCCTGCGTAGCAGTCCTCCTCGTCCACAGGGATCCCAACAGGGCCGCTGCGCAGGCTAGTAAACAACCGAGTCAACAGCTCACAATGATTGTGACACGGTTAGAAGTTTCTATCCGCTTATCAATCTCTGGTTAAACCCTCATATTGCTCTTTTATTGAAAATTAATGTATATTTTTTTCTGTAGGGCTGTTAAGAGAAAGGTTTTTGCTAGCTTGGGAGATGGAAGTTTGGTGGTATTTAAACCCAATAAAGGTGAGTCGTGATTGTGATTAAGATTGTGCCATCTACACGAAGTCAGATCAAACTTGCATATTTTACGTTACCATGCCTACCTTGCTCCTATTTGGTCTTCTTTCTTTGCTACTCTTATTATATAAACTAGTTTCATGTCTTTACTCCAACGAAGGATTAACGTCCGAAAMGTCAGTAAGTTGTTTCACCTACTTTTTTTACGGTGTTAAATGCCCAGTGTGCACCATTATGCTTTGGGGCCGCGATGGGATGGGAGGCGGCCATTTTCAGTTTACCAAAAGTCTATAAATTTTACACAACTGTTTCCATAGACTTTTTTTATTTTGAGGACATAGAATGCTACAATACGAATAGGTCGAGGCATCTTAACCCATTATATAATATTTCACACTTTTTTCTTTGACAGAGGGGATCTGGGACTTYAGTAAACCCAAAGCGATTGGTCTCAGTAAACTGGCTGTTGTGTGCTTGGCTGTTGTATCGGGTACCCTGTGGTGTGGTAGTGGCAATAACATACACATCTTTGACTACAAGAAAGAAATTGTYAAGGTAAACGGTGGGGTCTGGGTGCCATTCATACATGGGCTTCCTGTGTAGATTAAAAGTGGTTCTTGAAAACGTCAGTGATTGACTACAGCTGTGCGATTTCYAAAGGGAAAATACTCGGAATAGAATGATAAACGCTGTCTGACCAAACAATACATTTTCACTCGGGTTCTAAAAAGCTGTTAAAATAAAATTTTGGTGACTAATAGTCTTCTTCAAGGTTCCCTGCGCCATCTTGAAAGGTAGCCATGCCTTTACATCGAAGCGAGACAACCGTTAAGCGTGCAATGATAGAAACCTTCTTTCACACCTACAGACAATTATTCACAGGTATCTATCATTGCGCGCTCAACGGTTGTCTCGCTTCGATGTAGAGGCACGACTACCTTTCAAGATGGCGCAGGGAACCCGTGAAGGAGACTATTGATGGATGGATGAGTCTTATTACGACTGAATGACAGGATAAATAAGTGAATGTATATTATCTTTTCGTAGCACGTGATCGAGGTGGATCCTAACCCGAAGACAACTGTCCGGCATCTTGTTTGCTACGGGATTGGTGTATGGGTGTCACTATGGAAACAACCTACGATAAAACTKTACCACAGTGAGACAAGGGAGCACGTACAGGACATGAATATAGCATATACGGTTAATACTATGCAGCACGGTATGTATCCCGCATACCCGTATAACACGATACACCATCTCGTTATACCCTGTATATATAAGATCCTAGTGCGAAGCTCGAAACAGTTTAATCCCGTATAGCCTGGTGCAGATTATCCCGTATAACCGGGAATAGGGAAATCCCGTATTGTCCGGTCAGTACTACCTCCTTTGAAACTTAACCGGACCGTAAATTTACCGCATATCAGTATACAGAGCTTCGGACCGACCCGGGATTGTATTATTTGAAGAAATATCGTATTATCTTAATATTGGTATATTTTTCAGACATTGATTCTCAGTTTGAGAAGACAAARCTTAACAAGCTCTACGTATCGTGTATGGATGCCGAGGAAGGACTATTATGGGTTGGCACAAGCGTTGGACTCGTACTCATATTCCCGCTCCCGCGTCTCGAGGGAATCCCGCTCGTTTCGGGACGTGCTTGCGTCTCATTCCACGCGTACCAAGGGCGCGTGCGCAGTCTATGTCCTCTTAAAAATAACCCGGATGCGGAAGTGACGATAGGTCCACCGTCRACCAATAAAAAGAGGTATCAGCTGTTCAGAGAGCATGTGACGCGGGATGCCTGTGTRCAGACAGATGCACAAATTTGTAGGACGAATTATGCGGCAAATGGACCTGAGTCAGCGAGCAAAGGTAAACTGACCAGCGGTCAAAAACAGCCTGTTTGTCGGTATTAAAAACTTCAGTCAGAAATAGCAAAAACAACAGCTTTTTATTACTTTTAGGTCTTTTTTGATGAGATAATGTACATTTTTATTTTTCTATGAAGCCTCCACTACTCGTAACGGCAAGATGGAACAAGACGAAGAAGACGAGATCCACTCTGACGATGAATTTAGTTTTGTCGACGAAAGACCAGATTATATACCGACTGGTAAGGYCASCAGTAACCTTGGTGAYGTGTCAATYCGTTTAACTACTGGCCAGGGGGGTGCAGGTGAGAGTATCAATAACACAACAAATAAGTTTGCAAATAAAGTTCCAGATTTAGGAGATACGGATTTCGTCCAAATGATGGAAAGCTTTCAAGGCTTTGGAAGCTCACCGAGCATTGCAGTACCAGACCCCCCTGATGTCTCGGCGGTTTTGAAAGATAAGGAAACWGAGGACAAAAAACTAAGCAAAGAGGACATCAACAGCAATGAAAAAATACCAGGAGATGAAATACCTGCCGGTGAATTAGAACGGTCATTCCGTGCGATTAATAGCGATATTCCAACGGAAAGCGAGGGGGGTCATAACGATGAATCCAGGGGGAGGCTAGCTTCACAAGGTACATATGTTAAGCTGGAAGACGCTCTTGAAGAAGCCAGGATGATAAGCGAAGCTATCGATGCCGCAAGCACAGATGACGTCATGCTGGAAGTGACGTCATCTACTGACAATAACCAAGCCGGAAATGACGTATACTCTCCTCCGAGTTACGTTCAAGTTCTTGGCTCTCCGAGTCCAAARGTCTTCTCCGATTCCGATAATGATAACAATGATGAAAGTTTCTCGGTTTTTTCAACTTCCGTTACCGGTGGGGYTCAGTCTCCGGACGGCGTTGAAAGTAAGAAAGTTGGTAACTTGAAGTCGAGGCTACCATTCCCAGTCCTTCTCGTYACTGCGGGCGAAGGACACGCCGACTTGAGAAGGAAAAAACCTGACTTAAAAAATACTGACCCGCGAATAATGATATGGCAGATTAATTGATATGTCGTGAAAACCAAGAAAAATTACAGACTAAATGCATCAAGAAAAAAATATAATGATAGAAACCACCTTAACGACAATCCAAAATGGCGAGACTTCACCTGAAATGATGTAGAAAAGCAAGAAGCTGAATGTTTGGGTAGAACAAAGCGATAAAACTAAGATAAACGTACTTAATAGACACAAAATGGTGCCACATGAAAAACAACTTAAAGCAAAAACATGAACCCTACGCTACAATGTAAAATGGCTGCAAAGTTACCAAAGTGCTAATGGCTGTCCTTTTATTTTGTAAACACTTAGCTCAAGCAAATGAACAATTCTAATTTATACAGAATTGGTCTCATAAGAAGTATTATTGGTTGTACTGAATCTTTTACTTCGTTATTTGCAATGACTTCTGTAAGGTATCCTGGATGTCTTAGTTTTGACCCGCATGTTGTCATGATCAAGAAAAACACAGGAAGACCAAGTGAAAACTTCTGTCAAATTTACAGGGTGAACTTTTGCTAGGTTGTTTGCGCTCAGTTAAACTGAAACGTCGGACTTCTTTTTTGTAGACTTTTTGGGCATACGCGTGAGAAATTCGCCGTCAAAATCGTTTGGCGTTAGTCAAGAAGGTTAGAAACTAAGAATTCTATGCGACTAGATAGATTTTTAACATTTTCATTGAGTTTTGTAATAAATTTATCAAAATAGAAGATTATTTTAATAACAAATTTAAAAAAGTTAAGAAATATGTAAATTGTTTAGTTATAGTTAGTTATAATTATTCCTGCAATAATGACGTCATAAACCTTTGCCGAAAWGCATCATGGTATTGATCAAAGTCCCAAGATGGCGGATTTCATATGAAAACAATGGAGAACAAAATCTCGTTGTGAACTTAATTCATAGTTATCTATTATCGAAAATGCTTTAAAAGAGCATTGATATATAAGGTGATTACATACTAGAGTATGCTCCAGGCCTGTCTGAGAATTAAGTCCTATTTTGCTAAATATCATAGAAATCTGAAACTCGACGACCTTCTCTTTATATTTTCAAAGTTCCCATAGTGCATTTCGGTGAACATAGCATGACGTCATAGGGATGAGGACAATCGTCTATAGTGAAGTCAGAGGAGACCATGATAGGGATATACTATACCGCGACATTAAAAATGTTGGATAAAAAGTGATGTGCAGGGGAAGAAGGCCACAAAACATGTATTTGTTTGTTTTATTGATATTTTAAATTCAAATGAAACCTGGTTGGTTGATTTTAATGTAATTTTTAATAAGAAAATAGACGAGAAATCTCGTTTCTGCAGAATGAATACACAACTTGTTACTTGTATGAAAACTTTTTCATTTACTACGCACGACCACGTACTTGGCAAGACCTCCGCATTCCTATATCTAATTAGTACCATATGATACCTCGCGAGAATGGCCTTCAACGCGCGAGACGATGCTCGCTGGAATCCATCAATGCGAGGTCACTTCTGTAGGTTATCTATAGAAACGTGCACCGTCTGAGAATAGCCGCCGCCTCAGTCTGTTCGTTCTAGTGGCGGTGTCTCTTGAGTCTGCTAGACGGTATGTCTGGGAACTCGTCTAACTAAAGACGAAAGAGGTATTTTCGTTAGACGTTACGTAGGTTGGTCTAGTTTGCGTGCTTTATTGTGACAGCTTAACTTGGCAGGGGTGTCAGAGTGCTAAATTCCCTCTAAGTTTCTTGTTACAGTTCGTTTTTTCTTTGGATTCTGAAGGTTGACCTTGTTTCCGGCAGATTTCAATTAAGGCCGAGTTATCTGGAGATTCGATGGATGAATGTTTAAGGTCAACCTCCCTTTTTTCCCGGGATAGGAATACTGAATTGTCATTGACGTAAGGTACGTAACATTGCGCCATTGAAATTGAATGGCTTTGACTCAGTAGAAAACTACGTAGCAAAAGCTGCATAGTAAAAATGTAAAGTACTACGTAAAACATTCATTAAAACAAAACTAAGTAAAATGTCCTACGGAACCTACTCCGAAAAATATTGAATAAGCTACGGTATGACAACGCAAAAGTGTAAAAGAAGCGACGCAAACAGCTGCAGCGTTAAAAAAACGTTAGAGTTTTAGTTACGTAAAACGTATCTTCTTGTACTGTACTTCTTATATTCTACGTGAGAGTGCTACGAAAACGACTCACAGTCTGTTATTCATCCATTCAAACATTCGTTTATCCATTCACTTTTCCATTCCCGCCTTTTAACGGTCCAAAAATAGCTCCTTTTGTGAATGATGATTAATCCACTTGAAGTTGACGGATTTACAAAGATACATTAAAATTTCCGGAGAAAAGTGGCAATCATCGGTTACTTAATTTGGATTTTGGCAACGGTCTCGACTAGATCCAGACATTGCGGCGCGGGTCAATAATGCTTCACATGGCATCTCCCTCAGGCTACACTTTTACTTCCCTCCCCTCCCCCTTAAGGCAATTTATGAGTGCTATAAATATCGTGTTTGTCGGTCAGATCGGGTCAGACAATTTTGACATCAGAAAAGTTCAAAACTAATACGTTTGGTATTGATTTGACTGTTTTTTGACGTCAAAGGATGAACGATGTCTTATCAGAACAGCAACTATAATTGGTTCACTGAAGTTTTAACCGTTTCCATTCCAATTGTCACGTTTCTTGATATTTATAGTCAATTTCTGCACGTGAAACATTGTCTTAAAAAAAAAAAAATGCCTTGTCTCTTCTCCACTAAATCACACACTTGACAATCTAGACCACTGAACGAAAAATGTATATTTTCAAAAGCCACATAAAATGTTTTATGATGCGAGCGACCATTTCAAGGTAGGCTGTATATGAACATCACTTTTGACACAACAAGAACCCTCAATCCGTGAAAGCAAATCAAGTGAAGGTGTAATAGCCGATAGTTCAGTTGACGATTTTCTTTCGATTATTTTCGCGTCAACAAGTTCACATGAACCACGGAATTTGAAGCTTTTTCAAACATTCTCACTCGAGAGAGTGTTCTGGAAAAGTTCTCAGACACGGTCGGACGAGTGCAGACGCAACTCGTTGGCGCGTATCTCACAAACATTTCCAGAGATGCTTGGGAAAATTCACTGAAAAACCCCAGAATCCCACATGTTAAATTCAATGAAAATGGGTTGCTTTCTAAAGTTTATATTGAATCATCATATCGTTTGAAATGAGAGATTTGAGCCCGAGTTTCATCGTTCCACAATATAATAAGTGTCTTTAGTGGACGGTTCGGTGCTTTCGCGTTACTTCGATAAATAAAACGGAAGAAGTTATCTCTCCTTGGTAAATCAAAAAGATCTGATATATATGTATCGATTTTGACACCATGAGCATTCAAATTAAACATCAGCTGCTAAAAGCACATAGAAAAACGACGAAAAACAACAGACAACATCAAGTGTTGTCTAATATTCTATTCATTGTTTACCGAAGCCGGGATAATTAGTCTAGCAGTTGTTTTAGGGAACTTGTAGTACAAAAGGCCATTTTTAGACTGCTTTACGCTCAGTCTAACATGTCGAGTCGGTGGGGTCAAGGTCGCTTTTTCAACCGTTTTCGTGTGTGAATAACAGGTTTGTTTTGAACTGGTTTCGAAAAAAAACATTCTGTGGAAACAATTTTTTGAATTTTGGAGTTAGAAAATCACTCTAAACCCGTGAAATACATTTGACTACACTTTTAGCGCGTTTTTTAACGTTTTTGTATCACACTCCTTATTTACACTATGTATGTACATATTACTTCACAAGATTACGAAAACCACTGTTTTCACGCTAAGCTAAGATCGCACGAAGATAATGCATTAAAAAACACTTATTTTAAATGATGTAGTGAATTTTTTATCAGGTTTTCGCCTCCCTTTAAGACACGTTAAAATGATAGGTGACATGGTGTCTGAGAACAAAGTCGTCGAAAAGCGTTCCTTTAATTCAAGTAACAACTTCCATCCTTTCAAGGTTCAATGCGAGACAAAACGGCTACCTGTGTAAGTACCTGCTTATCTCCGTCAATATCCCCCACCCCTGTCCCCTACGGGCTAACCACCCCCTCTGAGGACTTTGTGCTAATTCAATTTTTATTTGATATTCAAAAATATGAAAGGAATATGAAGTCTTGAAACAGAAACGATTGTTAAAGGAGCTGCCATGTTGCGATTCTTTGACAAAGAATAAATATATTCAAGCTGTGCGCCCTTCTTTGAAAAACACTTGATTTTTTTCACCGGATTTTCAAGAGGTGCGGTTTTCTCATTAAGGCGTGGAACACCGATTGTCTGATCGAAATAAAGAAACAGTGGTATTTCACGGGTTTTCAGTGCTAAATCTAACTATATATTAGTAAAAGAATTGTGACTGATAAGAAATATATATAAATAGGTTAGCTTATTTTTTTAAATTAACCTTTTTATTTGACATCACTCTGAAGACGAATATCTTTGAAGACCATAACCTTAAATATTTATGTCAAAGGGTTAGATTGATCCGCAAGAAAACTGCGAAAATCTAATGAAATTACCCAAGATGCACCTGAAATATTTGTGTAGCTGGTATCATCGCTGATATTGCAAAACGGTGTAATTAGCCGTATTTTGACATCATTACCAATCAAATCAAAATTTTTATAGTTATATAGTGACAGATTAACAAAATCAATCCAAGTAAGCTCCTTTTGTTGTGACGTTTTTGTCGTGTTTAGTTGAAAGAACAAATTCAAATAATAGTGGCATTTTTGTCGGTGATTCCACCAGCCAGCGCCCTTGGCCATTGGCGTTGCAACCAGACGCTTAAGTAAACAATAGCACAATAAAACACTTTTTTCTCCTATTAAAGTTTGCGACAATGAAAAAGACTTTCATCTCACCGACAAAAGATTCTGTTGGAAACAAAGGAACAGCGGCCATAAGGAATTAACCGCTCTTAATTTCACYARCACAAAAGTTAAACAAAGTAGACTTCACTTTTGTTGGCTATTTTTTTGTGTTCCAGTCATTTTTATTTGCCCCTGCGATGACAGTGACGATAGTTCTCAATTGTTGGTAGTCAACTAAAGAAAAAAATAGATTCAGAGCGTGATACAAATTATTTTCAATCTCACACGGTCAAATGCAGACATATCTGACTAAGCTGTCGTCCTCTTTAACAGTTTTGATGTAAAGATTCAGCGGAAAAAGAGTGAAAGCAAATCTGAGGTTGAGAACCTGAGGTTTTTTTATTTTTTTTAATCGTTTTCTAGGCAATAACACGAGTTATGTGATTATGTTATGGAAATTCAGCGACGTTGTCGCGCGCTTTGACTGGTAAAAAATCAACCTGCTGTCAAAATTTGAGCAAATTCAATAGCAATTGTCTTAACAGCGAGTCTGTCTTTAAAATCTTTTTATAGAAACCTCGCTTTTTTATATATTTAACCGGGTTAAAGTGGCTGTACACAATTTTTTTTAGCAAAACTTAATTGTTAAGGTAATTTTAAAAAAGGTTTGGTTTAGAATACGATCCACAAGAACGAATCTTTTCTCGACGTGAATTTTGCAAATGGAAACACCGACAATTTTCCTTCTTTTTTTCTGCATATATGTTCATTATGAAACAAAAAAAAAAGGATTAACTGAGAGAAGTGATAGATTTATAATTAGTCTTTCAGGGAATTACCTTGCCATCTATCAAGACCTGCATGAGCTAAAAAGTTCATGTTGTTTCCAAAATAGTTTTTCATTGTATCGATAAGAGCAGCCTGATACTGCCAGTTTCCTAGGTAACTTTCAGTTGTATAGCACTTTTTCCTTTCTATAAGAATAAATAATTACGAAACAAAAAGGCGGAAGAGGATTTTTTACAATGTAATCGAGGGTCTATTTGTATCTTCGCAGACAAGACTTGACAAAAGACTTGACAAAAGACTTGACAAAAGCTTGAACTGAACCTACAAAACCATGTTTCCTTCGTCTTGTCGGGAGCATCAAACGCACATTTACATCAAAAACAACTGTTTTTYCCCGTGAAATGTTTATTTTATGAAAACAATATRTGGAAAAAAACATTTCTCAAATATTATAGACTCGTCGTTACAGCGTTTTCCTTGAAACAGAAGATATCACAGTATTTGACATACGTAGTCACCARCTCTATCGTTTTCTTKTGTGTMTATTAGACTACTWGTACACCTTGACTATTAGATTTTGTTTCACAGATTTACGGTGTTTTTTTTTTGCACGTTTTATCTTTCCTGTGTTAATATGCCGCATTATTACACCTTGGTGGTGATATTTTGTTTCACGGGTTTGAGGTTTTTATTACAATATTAATAGCTATTATAGAGTGATGGCACTTAAACCGTGCAACTGAACAAACTAAATAGTGCTATTTAGTTGTATTTAGTAAATCGTGCATGCAGTACGCAAATAATTAAATTGAATTAATACAAATGAAGACTTCAATATCGTCTTGTTTCAGGTCCACTTTTAGTACAAATTAGTACTACTAAGATTTTGTACAGTTGCACGGATTAAGTGCGATCACTCTACTATTCAACTTTATTTATAAACGACCAGATTGTATATATATAGACTGTTACACAATTTTAGTAAAAAAAATCGATTATGCACATTTATTGTCTAAAATTAAACTCGTATCTTAGGAAGTATGTAGTGCAACTTTTTTTCTTTTACTTTTTTCATGCACGACGAAAACGTAACTTGCATGCCCTATCAACACGTCGACGCTTTGTAAACTCCTATATTCCTACGCGTCTTGACTGCATAAAACATCCTCCTTTGTAGGCAACATGTACAATGGTGTGGGTTAAGTCGTAGGACCCGCGGTCACAACACCAGAGGCGAAACGGACTTTAAGAAATCTTTCATTTCAAAACTTCGATGATTTGTGGTGCGTCTCTGTCTCTGTGTTGSCCTCAATTCTCTTAGCAAAGCAGCTGGAAAGAAGTCTTTTTCCCCACGTGGCTTTTCACGGTGTTCTTGGACAATGTGTCGTCAATAGACTCACGAATATATTTTTAGAAGGCGTTCCAGGAAAATCACGAGAAAGAATGTGGAATTTGACAGAGAAACATTCGTATGCGCATCGAGCATTTTGATTGGTTCTACGTGACGCTAGCTGTCATATATGATTGATAAGACGTCAGAATTTCGACAAACGACCGCTTTCTTTGTCGCGTATATTATGGGATGTCTTGCAACTGAATCTTCTTGCAACTGAATCGTCTTCTTCAGCGCACCATTGCTTAGGCATGCTTTGCAGTGGCCCCAAGCCTCGGGGAATAGGTTGTATATGGGCTGAATTAAACTGAGCATGAGGCTCTCTAGGGGGAACTGAAGGCCCGCTCGAAGGCCTGATACTCAGTTCAACATGGACTTTGAAATACCAAGTCCCCTTCCTAGGGCATTCCAGATGAGAAAATATAACGGACTACTTGCTGGGGGTTTAAAGTGAGGGAGAGGGCAGGGGGGGCATGGTATGGTAGGCTTATAAGAAACATAACGGTAGAGTGAAAACACTTAATCCGTGAAGCTTGAATACTGCAAAATAGTAATAAACTATGCTAATTCCTTTGTTTTTATTGTCTAATCAATACTATTTAGTAGTAATTAATACTATTTGTTTCACGGTTTTAGTACGTTAACTCTACTGGCTATTATTACAATATTATTATTATTATTATTATTATTATTATATTCTTTTATATTTTTAATATATACTGTATACGTTAGGTTTTGGAAATAAAGATTATTTTAAATTTTATTGTTGTTATTATTATTGTTTTTGTTGCTATATCAATTGAGATCAATTACGAACACTGACATGGAACTGAATTATCTTGTTGAACGCTGTCAGAAATGGAGTCAGCATGCAAATATTGTAAAGAAGTTCTATGAATATGTTTATACTGAAAAAGAGAATATGAAAATGATGTAATTAATAATAATAATAATAATAATTTTATTGAAAAAAATCTTTGAAATACAAATTTACAATTAATACTAATTAATAATAAATAATAATAATAATCTTTTGTCAGCTAAATTTACGTGTTTATATTTTTTCAATGTAATTTAGAAATTGTTTTTCTTTATGTTTTTTTCAAGGCGAAAGGTAGTAAAGAAATAATCAATAACATGTATGAAAACGAAGAGAGAAATATCACCACTTCTACTGCCAATAATAATAATAATAATAWYATTTGTTATCRTACTCTSAATACTTGTTTACAAATATTTTCCTAGCACGTTCGAAGGAAAACACTGGGTTCAGGACCAACGGAGTTGATAGTGGGAGTTTCACCAGCGCGTGAAATACTTCAGAGTCCAATACCAGTGAAGCAGTGGATTGTTTTGTTGGAATTGGAGTATTACTCACCAAAAGTTAGTTTTATGGAGTTTTAAAAGTCACAAAGCCCGTGAAATAGATATTACTCTTTAGTATTATAATTAAACTGTTTTACTGTCTGTATTTTGGACTATTACACTTCGATAGTCAAATTTTGCGGGGTGCATGACCTCACTCTAGTCAAAATAGAAATTGATTTGGTAAGTATTCAACACAAGCGCCCATATCCCCCCCCCCCCCCCCCCCCCCCCCCTCCCCCCTTCCCTCCTCGTATGCTACGCAAGCACAGCTGAGCTAAAACATATTTGAAAAGGGATCTTGGTTTGATTAAAATGTTTCGTATCAGAAAAATCAAATTTTCCCTTGTGGTTCTTGAAAAACGTTTTGTTCCTTGCCGTCTACTTTCCTTTGGTACTTGGCAAGCAGAGAAAGAAGGCGACGTCCTGCCGCGCAAATCCTATATTTCTTAAGAAAACCATCCTTTTGATTTCAACAATCTTGGTCTTCGTGTATTTAATCAAGCAGGTTTGGTTTGATAGAACTGTTGGCGCCCAAAGGGTCACCGATGAAATTMGAACAGACGCAGACACACACTTATAAATCAACAAAGACATGACAATTTTCTTTTTCTTTTCAAAACTAAAATATGTTATTTGAGTGCTTTTAAAAGCTATCTTATACAGACATATATTTTTTTATCTATTGTGTTGTTAATATAAATATTTTAGCGTGGTGGCCCACGGAAGGAATCATAGGAGACAAGCGTATTTGATGTTAAATTTACATTTCTTCTGTCTTTGGATCCATTATCAGATTGTATTTAGATTGGAAGAAATTCAAGTAAAATGTCTAGGTACATAGCCCCGTTGGTTAAGGCTAAAACTGCCTTTTCTCTGTATCTAAGTCTAAAATCTCACCACGCTTTTCGCGCTGTCGGACATTTAGACTACAAAATCCTCAATAGTTAATGTTTTGTTTAGGCAAATTTCAATTTTGGTTAAGTTATGTCTCGAAACGTCGGCACGTATTCACCAGAAGACAGGCCAAGACGGTATATTAAKATTTTTGATAGAAATTGAAATATGGTTGTCTTGTTTCTAGAGACTACTTTGGTAATCTTGTTTTTCATCTCTGTGGGGTCTAATAATGTTATGTCTAGAATTCAATGGAAGAATATAGTGAATATTTATCACCCCGATGCGAAAGAGCTTGTTACGTCTGACTAGAGGGTGCAAGGCACTTTTTGTTAGCCTTTGATGTAAGCGCTTACAAAGGCCCCATTGCTCCCCGGAAAGAAAACAACTGGCAAATAAGCCTAAAAATCAACTTCTGGAAAGAGCAAACTTCTTAGATTATCTTAAGCTTATGAACAATTAGTCAAAATGTACACTTTGAATATTAATACTCGCGCCAGACAATGACTTCGTTGATTTGATTCAAATAATTCCGCTTCAAAGAACTCACTGCCCAGGAATATTTTTAGAGAGAAGCTTGCACGATATCACCGATTGACCGCTGCCTCATTAAATTTGTCAACATTATTGAAATAATAAATTATAAATCGCTGGTTATCAAAAATAATAAAGACATTTCCTGAGTGTTTTTATGGTTCCTCTTCAGAGCTGTCATTGTGTAGTATACCGTTGGATTTTGGTGAAGTTTTCTGCGCGTTCACCCCATTCAAAAGCTGTACGCTTTGTATGACTGTTCTCGAGTCTGAACGATGCGGTCTGTAGCCGTATAGAAACGAGGAAGCTGGGTGATAAGCTTGAGCTTTTATCCATGAATGAAGAGAGGTTAATTCACTCTCTAGTTCTCTACAAAAACTGTCTTTTTGTTCCAGTTTGATGCTCATGTCTCGCACCTCTTGTTGTAAAACTTCGAKAGACTCTTTAGAGCTGTTTCCCACGCTTCCTTCCTTGTCAAGTCTCTGCCGTCTCAACTCCGCTTCCAGAGTATTTATCCTATTTTTAAGTTCATGAGTCTCGTCTCGATATCTTGCTTGACAGAGACGTAGRTCCTTCTTGGTTTTCCGTAACTCATCGTAAAGTTCGTCAACCCGGCTGGCATGGTCGCGCTTAGTTGCTTCAAAAATACCTTCCAGCTTCGAACGCTCCGTCAATAGYTGCTTTACCGTTGCGTTGTTTTGGTTTAAGATTTCTTTCAAATCTTTCGCTAAAATTCCGCTAAGTTCTTTCATACTTGGAAGTTCTCCATTTCTCGAGTGTCTTAATAATGTCTCGTGGATGTCATTCTCGTTTAACGACATTTTGATCGAGATCATGTCGGTTTTAGAGCCATTTTGTAAGTGTGAGTACGCCTCCTCGAACGCACTCCATTGGTTTCCCTGACTAACAACATCTAACATGTCTTTAGCAGTTTTTTCTAACGATAAAGGATCCTTGGAAGAAGGAGTCGATATCGTGTCCATTTTGCTGGCTGGTGGGCTTGAACTATTCACCGATTTACTGCGATGCGGTGGACTCGAGGAATGATGTTCACTGYTCGCAGTATTAGGATCAAAGATTCTCCCAGTCGAGCCGGGACTTATTATTCCAGATGAACTGACATGTCTTCCGTTCTGCTTWACAACATTTCCAATCGGAGACCATGGTCTAAATGCCGAGCGGCGTCCCATAATATCCCCGTTGCTGCTTGTGCAAGACGTCACAACCCCGTTAGAGCAATAAACATAGCGCTCTGTTGACTCCTTATGTTTTGGACTTCCAGAACTCCCTTCGCAATTTTCTGATCGCGATTTTTTTCCAGCACAAGTTGGGCTACTCGATCTGGCATTGTTCGAGTTGTACTCCTCATCCATKCCAGATTCCTGATATTCCCTCTTGAATCTCCTTCGGCTGCCGTCTGAGAATTTGCTTGTTAGCATTTCCCACATCATTTGAACGTGAATTGTYGGGTGATCATTGCACAGCATAAGGTACAGTCTCCAYTGCGCTGAGTCGAAGCCCCAATGACATGTATGTACTTCACCAGAGCTGTGTGTATGAGTTACAAACGTCCGAGGTGAGAAAACGCTTTCGCACTGGGCACACGCWACGCATTCAGCGTACGGATCGGTATACGCTTCGATTTCTAAAGTCCCAACACATCCCCCAAAGCATTCATGATAGACTTCCAGACTGTCAACAGTAAACAATCGACTGTTTTTACGAGGAAATGACGAGCTTTTTAGAACACCGATCAGTCGGAAGGCATCTGTTTTAGTTATAAGGCCAGCCGAAGTACAAGACCAYGGAAGAACACCGGCAAGTTTGAGAATCTCGAGTTGTTGTGGAGTACAACGCGGACAAAAGATCTGGAGACGATCGCGTGCGGAGTTGATTGCATGAGTTGTGAAACCCTTTAAAACTTTTTCTACCAAATCCTTAAAACATAGCCTCTTCTCACCGCCGTAACTAAAGCAGGCAAGAGGKATTTGGTCAACGAGAGTTTCCTTGAACTTTAAAGTCCCTTGGTCCTTCGCTGGGACGTACATYCTTGATGAGACGGAGCGCAGTAACGTATTACGTGCCGATTTCATCGCATCACTAGACGAAACAAAGTTCTGTTTCCCCTTTACGTCTGGAGATACAACCGTCCAAGGCCTTTTGCCAACAGACTCGCCGAATCCACGGGGACCAGAAATAGAATCTGTTGAACAGTCTCTGTACTTTTGAAGAATTTCATCGAGAAGTGGATTATCCGTCCTCTGAAACTTTTCCTTTGCCATGGTCCGTGAAGGWAAAAGACTCACGGGCTTTTTACCAGCGACAGCTGTGGATCTGGTAAAGGAAACGAAGTAAGTTCATATAAATGGAATAAAAGCCAGAAACTAGCAGTCAGACTGYTGTGCCCATGCCCGTTATCCACAAACAACACGTGATAGAAATACTCGACCASTGACGAGTTAAAAATAGCTTCGAGGGAACACAAATTCGACTGGAATTCGCGACGAAAGACACGATCGAACTCCGGGGTAACACGAGTCAAGAAAACTAAGTATTCTTACCTTTGTAATAAAGCCACTCTCGATASCTATCCTCTATGAATAAACTTGAATGTATTCCAGTCCGTGTGGTGGCGTATTGAATAGAATTCAATGAAGCAGGTATGGCGTTTCTAGTAAGGACTGTTTTGTGAATCCCAATTTCTTGGCGACCAGGTCAATTATTGCCTGAGCGAATCGGACCAATCACAACCAACCACTCTAGACAACACATCAGCGGAGGGGAATGCAAAATATAAAATGTTTTCATTTGGTGATCGAGACGTGGTCTAGACACGTTGATTGTGCTGTCTAGACTGAGACTATGACGTGCGTTGGATCAAGACTTAACGACTAAAATGCGTCAATAATAGAGGCGGGAGATTAGTGATCTTTTCATTTTCTGTCGCCTCACGTTTCCATTGCGCCACTCTGGCCTCTTATTTTCCACTTGCAATCGTCTGAAACTCCAAATGGCTCAGGAAATCTTAGCGTGTATGGCGCCATAAGTGTTAAGATATGCTTCGGCCCAGAAAATCAGTCTCCAGGCAATTTACCCAAAGAAAAGACCCAGCTGCTCCAAAGATCCCTATTAATTGATATATATATATAACAAAGGGAGAATTTGTAATCAAAACCCCTTTTCAGTGTAGAAACCATCTTCTTTTGACCGGTCTCTGCGGGTTTTTCAACATCCATAGACTGTCTTTCCGCTCGGCTCTTACATATTTATAATTTTAAAGGATGTTTCATTTAGCTTTGTCAAGAGATAGACTCATTGCTGCCTTTTTAATAACTGAGCGACATTTTCATAATAAAACCTTGAGAGTTTTAACATCTACTTGCACGGATCGTTCAGAGATAACTGAAAGTCACAATGTCTGCGAGTGTTATTAGTAGAAATCTCACCTATTGTTAGCGAACATTTAATCGATAACAGATATAACATGATCGATAGCTAAGGCCGGTTGGATATCTAGAGAATAATCTACGCTGTCAAAGACATAAATCTATTGTTGTGGGTGGGAATTACAATCCCAAAATATCCATCGAAAATCATTCRAGTATAGTCAATGCAATATCCTACCGCTTGGCCTTCTATAAAAACAAACACGGCACTCATCGACATTCTAATATCTTGCGAATATAACTCGGGATAAMGTTCAACGTTGTYGTTTGAAACAGATGCTTATCTTTTAACCGAGTTCCAGTCAAAATAGAGCAGTTTAAATCAGTATCATGTAGTTTCGTTTTGCTTGAACACATATGGAGGCCTTGTCTCCACAAGCGAGATGACATTGGCGAGACAAGTGCTAGAGCTGGTACTCAAACAAATTCTAAAAATAAGACCACTGATATTGTTATTGAAATTCAACTTTGCGTTTCCCATTGTAGCAGGTTTCGATATTGTTTGAAGACATGTATTTTCTTGTTCAACTTCTTTATTGTCGCCATTTAGCGAGGCGCTAGGATTTCGAGTGTTCTAGTAGTTCGCCATGGAAGTTTTTCTGGACGCTTTTGACAAGTCATTCAATGTCACGAAATCACGGAAGGGCAAAGGTTTTTGAATAAAAGAGGATAAAAAATCCATATGCATTTGATCTTGGCGAAGATTAAACTGAACTTTTCAAAGGGACTGTTATCGTCAAGGTGACTGTGTAATTTGAAATTTCAGCGAAGTTTTAACCAATTTCTATTAAGAAACATCAGAAATACAATTAGATTGTCCGGTGTTTTGAAATTAGCGTCAAAATTTCGTAGATTTCAGCACATTCACATTTTATAGAGAAGATTTTGATACTTTGGTCAAAAAATTACACAATTTAAAAAACAGTGAAATTTAGTGAAAATGGCATAGTGTTTTTTTCGTCCGCACGATAGTAGCGACCACAAAAATTGTGTGTTGTTGGTCTTTCAACCTTAAAATGTTGGATTATTCCGTTAACATCAAAGCGTGGGATTGCCAACAAGGGTTTTTTTACGTCAATTGAACAATAAACTCGCAATCGCAGGTTAATTTTGGACGTTTTACTTATGAATGCACTTATTATCCTGTTTTCGAAAGTCGATCAGAAAAGCTACGAAAGCGCTTTCCACTACCATAGTACCCCGACACCAGTTTCAGGGACCCACGTTGGAAAAAAATAGCGCTTGAAAAAACGATTGAAAGGTAAAATTACTATTTTTAGCCTAAAAATAGCAATTTTACCTTTCAATCGTTTTTTCACTTATGCGTATATATTAATTGAATTTCCATGTATTCTCTAAGGAACGATGATTTTTAATTTCACGGCCGTGTAATTTCAATTTGAGAGTTCATAGCCATCAATTATTAAAAGAAGTAATATTAAGCAAAAACGACTAGCCTTTTATCAGTTACTCATAAAAGTTCTTTAACTTGATTTGTTTTCATTTTTATTTATTTTTTCACTTCAATTATTTCTATCCTCTTTTATTGTGACTCGCGAGAATCGTTAACTTGGGAGATTGGAACATTAATGGTATATGTCAGCGGGGAATGGGCTACTTTAATTATAAACCAGGCGTGTCTTTAATCTCTATTGTTCTATCCGATTCTGGAAACAATGAATTTGATTTTTTTCGAAATGCACATGAAACTCGTTGTAACGGATAAAACCGTTCTAAGCTGTGGAAATATCTGGGCATTCTGTTGGCAAAACATTTGTACATTAGACCATAAGTTACAGATATAGTAAAGAATTCCGCAAAATAAGGTCAAGCTAAGAAAAGTAGAAATTAGTGTTAAATTTCTGTTTGCAATTTCTTTTTGCAGGTATTCTTGTATTTTACAAGAACAGTAACTCATCTAATTATTATAAATAAAGTTTTGTCATGTTATACGCTTATCTCTTCGAGTTATACTAAACTCTTCGAAATGATATTTATCAAATATTTCACAGTGTAAACTCTACTTACAAAATCTGTGAAAATAAAATGAGATACTAATTTTATTTATCATTGAAATTAAAAGTGAATTCGATAAGCGTTCCATGTAAAAATATGTAAAAACAATGAATGATAAAACTGAAATATCAAGAGATTCAATGAATTTGGTTCTCAGAAAAAAATACTGATTTAGCTCTTGCAGTCGATTTGATTTCACACCACAAACAGTTTGACATATTAAAGCATAAAAAATGAGATTTTAATCGATCTAAAATACTTACAATAGATTTTAGACTCGCGTTTTATTCTTTCTTTTTATTAAGAGCGCCTTTCACTCTCTTTATTTCATGAATAATTACTAAAGTTTGCCAGCCGAAATGAAAAAGAAGTCACTCAATTGAAAAGCGCTTGTCTTTATGTCTTGGTGCTTTGCATGGTGCCAGAAATCGTTTATTCTCACCGAAATTTCAAGCTTAATTGTCTCAACCTCGATTTTAAATCTTAAATTCTATCCTGTTATACGGTAATGCCAATTTTAGGGGTTAAATTCAGGTTTTTCTGCGAGAAAAAAGCCCCTTTTTTGGCTTGTTCCAGGAAAAGCAACTAGTACAATTGGCCACGTTATGCTCTTTGATTACATGCAACAGAAGCCTTCCTATTGGTTCATCTTGACAGCCCATTATAAGGGAATATAGTACTGTATATTAATCGTCTGGGGCCAAAGAACTTAATTGAATAGCCATTATAACATGTGGCGTGATTATCCTGTTGAGTGATTTTGGCTGGTAGTGGTTAATCGAGGACTGGTACTAGCCAGACAAAGCTGTCAAACCTGCTTTTTGAAGTGTGGTATATTGACAGTAAAAACTGGTAGAAATTTTGCCTTTGTAATGGCAATCTTTTTTATTTATTTAGGTCACATTAACCAGAAGAAATAAGGACAACTCACCCAAGAAAGAAAAACATTAGAATTATACTTGAGCTGCAACCACATGACCAAAATCACGAGAAAAATTGTTGTGTAAAAAGATAAATTTAACACTTTTTACAGTGTTAAATTTATCTTTTCACACAACTGTTTCTTTAGAAACACTGACACAGCTCACACTAGTTTATCACTAGTTTTTTATCTATGTCCAAAAATGGCAGCTATGGCATAATATGCTAGGGATTTCACTTCTAGAAGAGACATTTGTGTTTGTGGGAGGAGACAAATGTGGGACAATGAACCCTATGAATGTGCATTCACTTTTTCCTCATAATTTATTGAACTCTTAACTCAAAGCAACCCCATTTAATTCCAGTTTAAAACATGCAACTTCCAAATACCTTTATTAATAAAATCTTTATATGAATGTTGTTTATAATATTTCAAAGCTTAAAAAAAATCAACTATTATTATTATACATAGCATTGTTATAAAATCACAGTTAATACTATTATTATCAACCCCAGCATAGTCATTGGTCAATAAGTTATTAGTACAATGATCCAGATTTATGAGAAATTCATAAGACTTTCAGGAAATAGCAACCTATTCTCCAGCTTGGGTACCCTATGGTTTATTGGGTTCCCTGTGTTGAAGAGGGGACAGGAAGCCCAACAGAAGGAATTCATAAACTCTGAATCAATGATTCTGCTCCAACAATAAGTTTTGAAGCTTTTCTTATCTTTCAGATCCAACTAAACTTGCCTAAATATACTCAATAAGTCAACAGTTACATCAGTCCATGTTTTAAAATTCAGGATCAGAGTAGTCATCGTCTTCGTCCCATCCAGATTCAATTTTTCCTGTATCACCAAAGTCAACTTCTTTGTCATATTCAAATCCATCATCCCCTGGTTTTAATCTGTGTTTTTCAAAATCAATGTCCATCGCAGCTTTTCTCATGTTTAATGCCTGGTCGTCTAGCTTGTTAAGGTCTTCATCAGAGTTCACSTTGAAAGATGGTTGATAASCYGATGGCAAGGATGGACTAGGTCCTTTCTTTTTTTCTTGGATCATTTTGAGTAAGTTTTCAATCTTTGAAGAGTATAGGAACCATGTAAGTCTTCCTCAATACATTTGAATGAAAACTTYTTKT